AAAAGAGAAAAAAAATTCCTTTTAATCACCTTCAAAATCCAAAAATATATTTATTTAGAAGAAGGGAAAATTCAGAATTCAAAAAAATATTGTTTTATTTTGTAGTATCTTTTTGAATTTTTTTTTTTTGAAATTCAAAAAAGAGTAAAAAAGAAGTTCAAAATTCAAATATTTCATTAGTATTCGTCCCTTTTTCAAAAATATATATATATAAAAAAAAATAAAAAAAATATATATAATAGTTTTCCTCCTTTTCTTTAAAAGATTTCATTCAAAAAAAAAAGGTCTAGATTTCCTTTTCTGATCGGACCGAACTACGCCGGTTTGATTCTCACCGGGTGTGAGATACGTAGGCAACCCTCATCGGGTCCAACCCCACCTTTTGCTAAGATAGCCAAAACCAATAAACAAAAAAAAATGTCAAAATAAGTCGGGTGATGCTGTTTTGTCATAAATAGCCGAATGTCCCCAAAAGGGACGCCGGAAGGCTGACTTTGCATAAACAGCCACTTTTTGGGTCATGTTCAGAATTTTTGGCCAGTTGACCCACACAGCCTTAAAATCTTCATCCCCGAAGTGCTGAAAGGCCGTGTTCGAAAATCTGATTTTTTTTCTTTTTTTTTTTTAGAAAAATAGTCAAAATATTTTTTGTTTAAAAAGTCACCTTAATAAATGTGCAGGGTGAGCGCGATGCAAAATGAACACTTTTCGATAATGACTAAAATCCCTGTCAAGTTACGGCTATGGTGGAATGATCTAGGTGCTGAAGGGTAAGATGAGGTCAAGAAATATCTGAAAGGTCTCATGGGTTTATTAGAAATCCAGCCTCGGGGAGATATCATAAGAGCTTTGGTCACTTACTGGGACCCAACGCACAATGTTTTCCATTTCTCCGATTTTGAACTCACCCCGACTCTGGAAGAAATGGCTGGGTATATCGGAAATGATGAACTTCCATTAAGGCAAAGATATCTGGTTGCCCCAAGAGCTGTCACGGTGCATCGATTCCTAGACTCACTAAAAATACCCAGGACGGTCCACAACCCAGATTTGGTCGCCGGTTTTTGTAATCCATGCTTCATATACGACAGGTATGGTCATGTAGGAGGATTCAACAATCCGATTAACAAGCTATGCAGCAAAGGTAGTCGTCAGAAGTGGGATAAGCACAGACGGGTGGCTTTCATGATAACATTTTAGGCCTTTTTGTATTTCCAAGGAAAGATGGAAATATTGATCTGAAAATATCCGGGGTAGTCAGTACATTGCTCACTCAGAATGATAGCACTCTCGCGCCTATGGTGGTATCTGATATCTTTCGAGCTCTCACAGCCTGCAAAGCCGGGGGGAATTTCTTCGAAGGTTGTAACTTGCTGCTACAAATATGGATGACTGANCGGGGTCGTCAGTACTTTACTCACTCAAAATGACAGTACTCTCGCGCCTATGGTGGTATCTGATATCTTTCGAGCTCTCACAGCCTGCAAAGCCGGGGGGAATTTCTTCGAAGGTTGTAACTTGCTGCTACAAATATGGATGACTGAACATCTCTGCCATCGTTCCGAGTTTTTGAGCCATGGTTCCTCGGAGAAAACTTGCATAGAAGAGTTTTACACGAGAACCAAAGAGATCAGTCTGCCCAAAGGAGTTATGGAATGGACTTCATTCCTTCAAGCTCTCACTGCCAGCCAAATACAGTGGACACTGGGATGGTTGCATGTAGATGAGGTCATGTATATGTCAGCAACTAGAACTCACTTTCTACTGATGGGACTTAAGAGCATTCAACCTTACGCGCCCTGCCGAGTTTTGAGACAATTCGGAAGATACCAGATAGTACCACATGAGGAAGATCTTAGAACTCAAACAATCGAGATAAGCCCTGACGGACAATTTCCTGAAGCAAAAATCCGCCAGATCTGGAATGAATGTCAATATTTGAAAGCAGATACTTGTGTGCAGGATCGGGCCAAAGGTGATATGGAACCAGGTTACCTTGCATGGTACAGAAGAGAACTTGAACACGAAAGGCCGACTAAAAGACCTCACATCCGAAGCTTCGCCGAGTCGTCGCAAAAGCAGTGGGATTCGTTGGAAAAAGAAAGAGGCTATCGTGCCGAAATCGGCAAATTGAAGCAACAGGTTGAAGGTCTGAAATATGAGCACAACGTGCAAGTTGCTACCGATCTGGGAGAAAAGAACAGGTTGACTCAGGAAAACGAGATGCTCAGGGCCCAGATCAAACAGATGAAGATAGATGCTGATAACCAGCCAATGAACCGGTCGGATGAACGATTGATAAAAGCTTTAAAGACGGAAATTGGGGAGCGCCGGAATGAGTCAGAAAATACCATAGCAGGGCTCGAAGCACACTGGGCAAGAAGGACAGAAAAACGTAACCGACACTTGCGACAATTGGAAAAGGATCACGAGCGAACCATTGCCAATCTAAAGGAAAAGTTGGACAGAGCGTTTGAACAAATCCGAACCTTGGGAGTCGAAAACAAACATTGTCGCAAGCTTTTAGCCCAGATGGAAGTGGAAATTCAGCAGTGGCAAAATCGATGTATCCAGGATTCTCGGGTTATGACAGCCCGTAATGATCAAATAGAGCACTTACTCAAAGAAAAGAGGCAAATCAGGGATAAGATCAGGACCATTACCCACGCCATCATCAGACGGTGTCTACGATGTGAAAACATGACCAACATTACCGTTCTTTCGGCAGTGATGGTTTATGTCAAGCAGACCATGCATGAGCTAGAACAACTTGAAAGGGATCTCACACCTAGGACCGCGGCGAGGCCGAACGATGCCCCGCGGGCACCAGTTTTCGAAACCTTAATGCATTCATAGGTCGAGTCTGTATCTTAGCATCTTCTGTCCGTCTTTTACATCAAGGTGTATTAGTCTGTTTGAGTCTGTACTATTTTCAATGCATGTTATTTTCCCTTTTTAAAAAATGTTAGTTTGTAATAGATTTGTTCAGGAATAAAATGTGTGCTCCTTTTTTCGAACTACGTAATGATCTGATTCACGCGGCATCGTGATACGTAGGCAATCTTCATCGGATTCGATCACATTTTCAACTGCAAATAATAGAAAAAAAAAGAAAAAATAATAAAAAAAACCAAAACAATAAAGGGAAGCCTAAAAGAAGCCGGAATGACGCATGCCTTCGCTGCAAACATGTAGGAATTCATTTAACTGTATAGGTGCATCATGCCCCAACGTGAGATTACCTATCTGTTATTTGTTTCGAACTAACCGTTCGTTTGTCGTTGAGTCTTTCCAGGTTTTAGAAAGGCGGTTGGTTTGGTGAAGGTCTGGCCTCACATGCATACTTCACAAGGTCGAAAGGGAGTGTTCAGTTACTTGTTGTTAAGACAAGAGGGGTTACTCACACTTACTTCACCAGATCAAAAGGAAGTGTCGAAATGTCTTCAGAAGTTCCTCTGCCAACGATTCCTATTACGGAGGAAAGTTCAATCTCAGCCATCCCAACTTCTGAGTCAGCAACGGTCGAGGAAAATAGAATTTTACGTCTCCGCATGATGGAAATGTGGGACGCCTGGGCCAATGGAAAAGAGCCACCAAGTGTGATCCCTGGATTCCCTGAGCTTTTTCCTAGGGCAAGTGGGACCTCTAACACCCCCATAAGTTATCCAAATGCCCCTCTGGGATTTCCTACCATCTCAGCCTACTTTACTGGAACACCGTCTGAATCTCGCCCCCAGGTGTTAGCTTCCGGTGTGGCTTCAAACATATTCACTGCTCCACCTTGTTCAGCCACGGCACAACCTGTTTTACCCAGGCCCAACTTCGATTCATCATCCTTCACATTTCAAGCACCGCCTCTTCCATTGGAACCTAGCCAGTTCACCACCAACGCTTACCCTCAGCCATCTCGGTATAAGTTTATTGCAGGGCAGGAGAAAGCCGAGAAAACACCTGAACAAGAGGAAATGACCAGGAAAATGAGAAGTATGGAGCAAACTCTCAAAATATACAGGGTCTGAGCGGGCAAAAGAGCGTATCTTATGCTGACCTGTGCATGTTCCCACACGTACATTTGCCTTTGGGTTTCAAAACCCCGAAGTTTGAGAAATATGACGGGCATGGGGACCCCATAGCCCATCTCAAAAGGTACTGCAACCAGTTGCGGGGAGCGGGCGGAAAAGAAGAGCTTATTATGGCTTACTTTGGAGAAACTTTGATCGGCGTTGCTTCTGAATGGTATACGGATCAGGAAGTATCTCGTTGGCACATTTGGGACGACATGGCTCGAGATTTTTTCAGACAGTTTCAATATAACATCGACATTGCCCCCGACAGGAATTCATTGTCGAATCTAAAGAAGAAGCCTTCGGAGAGCTTCCGAGAATATGCTGTCAAATGGCGCGAACAAGCGGCCAGAGTCAAACCTCCGATGGATGAAACTGAAATGGTCAGTGTTTTCCTTCAAGCCCAAGAGGCTGATTATTATCAAAACATGATGTCTGCATTGGGAAAGCCGTTTGCTGAAGCCATCAAAATCGGTGAAATGGTGGAGAATGGGTTGAAAACAGGGCGAATCTTGAGTCAGTCTGCTATAAGGGCCACCTCCCAAGCAATCCAAGGCGGGTCTGGAGGAGGAGCAAATCGAAAGAAGAAGGAAGAAGCAACAATGGCAACTTCGAGTGTAAGGAAACCCCTTCCGTCCAGATTTCATTTCTCTGAAAGAGCCCCGCAACACTACTACCCCCATCAAGATGCGGCCTATGCTATGAACCTTCAGCCCTACACAGTAATGAATGCACAACCATATATTAGGCCACAACAACAATTCCACCAAAAGCGAGCTCAATTTCCAAGAATCAGCCTCCTCACCAAGCTCAGTATAATCCCCGACCTCCATAAAATAATCTCCCCTATAACGCCCGCGCTCGAGAGACGCCTAGGAAAATGGACTTCACACCTATTGGTGAGTCTATTCCAACCTTTTCCCTAAATTGGTCCAAATGGGTTTGTTACAACCTGTACCCCCAAATAGGCAAAACCCAGAGTCACCATCTTACCAACCTGGTGCCCGATGTGCCTATCACTCTGGAGTGGAAGGGCATGACACTGAGAGCTGTTGGACTTTGAAAAGGGTTGTTGAAAACCTCATAGAACAAAAGCGGATAGTGTTAAAGGACGAAGACATTCCTAATGTGACCAACAACCCGTTACCGGCTCACAACAATGGATCGATTATTGGGATGATCTGCGAAGATAAAGAGTTTGATTCTGTCTTGAAAGCCATCATTGCAATCGCCGACATTGAGAAAAATCCCAAGACGTATGCAAAACAAGAAAAGGGGGACAAGAAGAGTAAAACCCCCCCTCAAAACACAGAAAAAGCAGTGGAAACCAAAACTGAGGTAGTGCCCTCAAAAGATGCCGTCCTTTATGTTCCCCGAGGTTCGAAGAAAGGACAAGTAACATTGAGCCCTCCAAGAAGCTTTGAACTGAACAAAGGATCTAAAATGTACGTGCCCAAAGGGACCTATGCGGAACGGGGGCCAATAATTTCACCGAGGCTGAATGAGCCCGTGATTATTGGACGCGCGCCGCAGAGGCCCATGACAGATCCTACTACCGTCCCATGGAATTATAACAAGGCGGTAGTAACCTACAAAGGAAAAGAAATCCTGGGAGGAGTAAATGAAGCTAACCCAACTGAGAAATACCTCAACCTGGAGGAGTTGAGTGATTCTACAAAGAGGCGTTTTCCACCCAAAAAACCCGTCAGTGCCGAGGAAGCGGAAGAGTTTTTCAGGAAAATGAAAACTGCGGACTACGAGATAATTGACCAACTCCGAAAGTCTCCCGCTCAAGTCTCGTTGTTGTCCCTACTGATGAATTCAACTGAGCATCAGAAAGTGTTGATCAAGACCCTCAACGAAGCTTACGTCCCAATTGAAACTACCATAGAACAGCTAGAGAGGATGGCGGAAAAATTCTTCATGATCAATCAGATTTCCTTCAGCAAAAATGATCTTCCCCCGGAAGGGTCCGCCCACAATAAAGCCCTCCACCTAACGGTTAAATATGAAGGGTACTATGTGAAGAGGGTCATGCTGGATGGCGGGTCCGGAGTAGATATCTGTTCCCTTTCGACTCTGCAAAGAATGGAGATCGAGACAGGAAGAATCAGGCCCAACAGCGTATGTGTTCGTGCCTTTGACGACATCAAAAGGGACACCCTAGGCGAGATCGATTTGATTTTGACTATCGGACCTGTGGATTTTGAGGTGACCTTTCAGGTTTTGGATATGGATACTTCTTACAATTTCCTTTTAGGAAGGCCTTGGATTCATGCGGCGGAAGCCATACCTTCTACTCTCCACTAGATGGTAAAATTTGTATATGAAAATCAAGAGATTATAGTCCACGGAGAGGATGAGCATTCAATTTATCGAGACCCGTCGGTCCCATGCCTCGAACCTAAGGAGGGTAGTGAACACATAGTCTATCAAGTTTTCGAGGTTGTGGTCGCAGACCAATGCGAAGAAGGAAGCCCGTACCCTCAACATTTTCTCTCAAAAACGTCAGTTATGGTTTCCAAGGAAATGATCAGGCATGGTTATAAACCAGGGAAGGGGCTCGGGGCATCATTGCAAGGTATCACCGAACCCATCACCTTACCTGCTGCTAAAAAGTTCTTCGGTGTTGGTTTTTACGCCGAAGAAGCTGATATAATGTGGGCAAACCAACGGAAGAGCAATGGCTGGGTTTTGTCTTAGCCAATTCCGCATTTTTACAGAACGTTCTTCAGACCCAAATACATTGAAGAAAGAGAGGATGAGACCTTCATGACCGAGGAAATTGAAGAAATCTGTGGGGTTATGAGGCAAATGCTGTATGAAACCCAT